GAGGGTCGGAGGAGCGGCGTCAAGGACACCGAGCTCAAAGCTGCCCGGAGATCGCCCGGGAGCGCCGCCCCAGCCCGCGCCCGGTGCACCGCCCGCCCCGGCGTCCGCCCCGCGCGCTGCGCTTTGCAATGTAAATTTCAGCGGGACAAATTGCTTATTAATAGTCTAGAGGAGAAGCCGGTTTCTTTCTTTCTTCTCTTCTTTATCTGTTTTTATTTCTACATGGCCCCTAGCTATGCCCTGGGCAGCCTCGCCGCCCAGCAGTTTTCCTCTTCATTTCAATGTCCTGAAGAAAATGCAAATTTTCACCGCGTGGCCTTTTAAAAAAGTTAAATTAGCAACAGCTTTAAGTGACTCCATTAGTATGGAAAACATACACGCGTTTAAGGTGGGAGTAGCTTCTTTTTCACGGGGCTCGTTCTGGTCTGTACATCTAGCAGACCGTCGGAATTGGTAAAGAATCACGTCGCGGCCAATGTGTGTGTGGCAAAGGCGCTGTCCCCCGCGCGCTCTGCGCCCGGCGTCCCCGGAGGGGCTGTCGAGCCGCTGCCGCCGCCGGACTCCGCACGCGGGCTCGGAGCTCCTAGAAGCCGCGCGAGCGTGGGTGGGAAGGGTTCGTGCAGGGGGAAGGCAGGAGGGCTCGACACATTCCTGTCCAAAGGAGGCGGGCGGGGGCTTCCTTCCCTCCCGGCCTAGATGACTTAATGACCCGGGCGGACGGACCGGGCCTGGCCACCGGAACCCACCGCCCCACTTTTGCGCACAGGGACTAACGTGTGCACGTTCTGTTAAGGTCGCTGAGGAGCAGGAGGTCAGTGTAGCGGTGGCCACCTTCCCATCCATGCCCATCCCGTGGCTCTCTACCACCCCAACCCCTTTACCCGTGTTGGCAAATCAGTGTTTCTAGCCACAATTTGATTGGCAAACTTTTGCACGCCGTTAGCTTCCACATGAGGGTATTCAATTCTGACACGACGTCTGGCTGTCCCCTGTCCTTTACCTTCAAGCCATAACCATCCAGGAAAGAGTTAAGATTCATGGTAGTTGCAGGAGTCTTGTCAGGATGTAATCTGCATTTTTTAACTACTGCGTAATAAAAAGTGAGAAGTTTTGAGACACCTTTCTTGATTATACCTTTGGCGATACTTTAGGTTTTACATTTAATTTGCATTTTGTTCTTAGTGAATATTGAAGTCTTGAGTGGAGGATTGAATTTTATTAGGACATCTGGACTGACAATATCAAATCAGACACCAGTGTCCCAAAGCATGCTAAAATTTCAGAGTTAATTAGAACGCAGTGTGTTTAATTAAAGCCAATTATAATATTTGAAATTATCCGATCGATCCCTGTTTGTACAGTTTGGGTCTGTTTAGGTGTTGATTGGCGCACTCTGTGCGCTGTTCGATCTGGAAACTTCTCTGGGAAAAGTTTGCTTTGTAAACTGGTGGGGGCGGGCGGGCGCGGGCTCCGGCGCATCCTGCCCTACCGCCTTCGGAGCCGCGGAACGCAGCTCGGGAAGTCCCAGCTCCTTGCTAATCCGCTGCGTCTTTCGGGTCTGGGGGACCCCGCCACGCACCAGCTGTCTTTCTCAGCTGGGTTGCTTCTCGCGAGCATTTTTGCGGAGAGGCAACCTTGAAGGTTGCAAGGTGCCTTGGGAGAAGCCCAAGCTCGAGAGTGTTTGATCTAGGATTCTCTCTCTGGCTGAAGAGTCCCTAGGGCTGACCAGAACGGTGGGGTCAGCCAAAATGGACCAAGGAACCAGGGAAAAGTTAGCGCCAGGAGACAATAATTAACTGTTTCCCTTCTCATCTCGCACGCTGCAGGAGCCGAGGCGCGCCCTGGCGCTTTCCTCCACGCTTGGAGCGCCCAGGGTTTTCCAAGGAGAGGGTTGAGCAAGTCCGGGTCATGTCCGTCGGCCCCGCGTGGCCAAGCACTTGGAGCCCACGTTTCTTTTTGGAAAGGGCTTGTGTGCAGCGCTCGCCGCCCGGGCCTTGTGCTGGGTGTCCCGCTCGGCCCGGCTCTTGAAGGCGCACTTAGGCGGCAATCAAGACTAGTCAGCGCCTGGCGGGTGCTGCGCGCCCCCGGGGTCACCGGGTCAGCGAGGCCTGGGTGCCTCTAACGCGCAGGAGCCGGAGCCCAGCGGCTGGGGCCGGGCGGGAGACGGGGGCC